CTGGTGTTATTACAGCCTTTCATGGGAGAGCAGGGTCACCGGAGAGTCAACCGCTGGAGGTCTCCGGCAATTCAGGGCGAGCTGGAAAAGTTGTTGCTCTGCAATAATGAAGAGAGGGGCTTGCGGCCAACACGGAGCCAAACACACACTGGCCAGTGTGCTCGCCCCCACCTGTGTTAGCCGAGCAACAACGCCCCCCGCCACCTGGGTTCAAAAGGCTCATTCTTGGTTTGCCGGTTGCCTTCCGTTGCTTTTTGCTTTCGGGAGACGCCGGGGCCCCGGCCCCCTTTTCGGCGTAAATGAGGCTCGCACCTTGCTGCCCCGCACATTACGAAAATGGCAAGTCAACCCCCCGCGGGTCTCCAGGAGGCAGCACGTCAGCCGAGGCGCGGAGCCAGGCGCCGTGCAGGAAAGACGAGATGGAATCAACTCACACGGGAGCTGCGGCGTGCGGGGTGGGAGGCAGAATCGGGAATAACGGGCATCCCCGAGCTCTTGGGAGAAGACGGACGGCGCTGGAACCCGGGCGCGCGGTAGACGGGCCGCTAGCGGGTGACACAACCGTTTCCCAGCAGAGGAAGTGGCAGAGCGCGGCCTGGCGCAGGAGGACACGGTACAGGGCTGACACGTTCTGGGCGGATGCTACAGCCTTAAGGAAGCAGCTGGCACCGGGATGGTTCAAACCAAGGAATTTAGCAGGGAATCCTTGGGTAGGGACGTATCAGAACTGGGCCCCGCGGTGTCGGTCAGGGGAGCCCCCGGGCTCTCGGTCAGTCCGCTCCCTTTTCGCACGGTGCGGGGCCTTGTGGCCCGGTCGCCAGAGGAACCGGGAAAAGCAGCAACGTCACTGCCGAGGCCTCGTCCCTCCGACAAGTCCTGCCCAGCGGCGACCTGCTGCTTCATCGCCCAGGGGGTCCGCGGAGAGGAAGGCGGATGCCAAAGGCCTCGCTGGGCCCCTGCCAATCTGGACAGCATGACAGCTGCTATGCACGGGCCACGTGTGCGCAGCTGTGGATGCGGGTACAAAGTTGGTATCCACGCCGGGCTCTGGCCATCTGGCCACACTCCCACCGGTCCATGAACCTGGGAACTGACTCCTACAGGCCTTTCTCCCGGACACATCGTTCAAGCAGGTTAGAACGGGGTTAAGCCCGAAGGATGCAGTGTGGAACAGGCTAGGTGCTGGCCAATGTCTCTTGCTGAATCAGGCCCCCCCTCAGGTCAGGTTGGCCTGCTGGGACGACTCCTGCCAGCTGGGCTAGGCGTGAGATCACTGGGCTTTGCGCCTCTCTCACTGCCCTCTTCCGTCCTGCCGTGAGCTGGTGCCAGAATGGGGATGTTGCCGGCGTCTACAGACCCCTCGCTCTTGACTCAAGCGCCCCAGGGAACAGCCCGTGATGGCGCCAGGCCTGGATTACGAAGCCCCGTCTCTCTTGGGGCTCCTTGCAAGCACCCCCAGGGTCCCCGCAGATGGGCACAGAAAGGGTGTAGCAAGCTCAGGGCTCATTGGGAGGGAGGGGCATGTGGTCAGACTTCGCCGCCCCCGCCGCCCCATGCCTTTGCTTGCCGGATGCTTTCAACAAAAATCCTGAACATGGCAAACTTGGTTGAGGGAGGAAAAAAAAGGTCGCTCTGCCGTTAAGTGGCTCCTCACTTCCCTGTCCTTGCCAGATGCCCCCAAAATTATCCCCGCCGGGCTTCTGTCCGAGGGAAACAGGAAATACCGGACAGTTCACATGTCCAGTATTTTCTGGGGTTTTTACCAGACAGGGGAGCCAAATACCAAACAGTTTGGGTGAAAACCAAATGCCTGGCAACCCTACCCATGCCGTGCTGAGCGGGTGGAGCAAACGCTATGGCAAAGCCCCATGGTCCTCCCTCCCATCCTTGCCGGAGCCCCCTTGCTCCCAGGGAGAGTCCCGGACACGCACAGCTCCCTGATGCTTGAACAGGGGCACGCCAATCGGAGAAATCCTCAGCCACGCGGCTCACCCTGCACAGCCCCCGTCAGGGTCCACTGGATCCAGGAAAAACCCACTCGGGCCGGCTGAGCACAGGAGAGTGCACAGTGGCCAGCAGAGAGGCCTTGGTCCTGCGGATGCCTTGCCGCTAAAGGAGCCGTGCTGGTACGTCCAGTGCGGCACACGCACAGTGGAGAGACACAGGCAGAGACAGACAGACCCGTCTCTTCTGAGATGCCCGGCACCCCCTGGAACTGACCAATTCGAAATCAAAACTCAGCTAACGCACTCGCCCTCTTCCGCCCTGGACAGATGTTCACAGCAGCCAGGGAGGTTGAGGTTGGGCATTCAGGAAAACTTCCTGTCCGGGCGGTGAAACACTGGAATCAATCACCCAGGGAGGTTGTAGAATCTCCACCCCTGGAGAGATTTCGGAGCAGGTTGGACAGACGCCTGCCAGGGATGAGCTAGACGGAGCTTGGTCCTGCCACGAGGGCAGGGAACTGGACTCAATGACCTCTCGAGGTCCCTTCCCATCCTAGGATTCTGTTTCTCCAACTGCAGCATGAGAGGCCAAACAATACCGGGGGGAATGAATATCCCTGCTCAGCCCTCGTGCCTCTCCCCCCCCAGACCTGCGGCTCCCTCCCCAGCCTTCTGGGCCCGTGCGGATCTCCCCTTCATCCCCAGGGACTGGGGGTCTCTAGGCCATCAGACCGGGGCAGAACCCGGCTCCACCAGCAGGCAAGTGATACACCTGTAGGCAGGGCTCCAGGTGAGGCCAGGCGGGTGGAAGGGGAAACGGGAGCAGAAGGACAGGGAAGAGAAGCCGCCCCTCCCGTTAATCTGTTCCCATCCTAGTTCCCTGAAATGCAGCTGCAGGCGGAAGTCCTGTGGAGGAAGGACCGTGGGGACGGGGCCAGGCTAGGAAGGCCCCCCCCCTGCAGCCTGGCTGCATGCGCCTGGCTCCCACGTTGCACGGGCCTGCAGGGTTGAGTCCTGACTGGGGGCGCTGTGCCCTGGCCAGTTCTTCCTCTCCCCCAGGCAGCTCCTTGCCCCTTCAGCACAGCCTCCGCCAGACAGGGGAAGCCCCCGGGACTGTAGTTACTCCACTGTCCCCCGCCCCAAATTCTCGTAAGCACTTTGAGAAAGTCCTGCAGTGAGGCAGGGCCGGGTGTGTCTGGGGCTTCCAGGCGCTCAAAGGTCCCTCATGTCCCCGAACAGCCTGGAGGTGATGGTGTTGCCCTGCAGCTCGACAAGTCACCCCTGTGTGCTCACCCCACCCCGCCTGCAGCCCACTGGGGATTTTTTCAAAGATGGCAATTGGCGAGAGTCCTGGTGGAAGCATGTCAATTTCAGCGGGCGGAACACTCCGAAACCTAAGCACAGGGCCCCAGACACATGCATTACAGCGTAATTAACTAACACTAATTCCACCATTCCCCCCCACGCAAGAGGAGTAAGCTCCTCCGAGGGAGCGCACTGCATTCCGCCCCGGGAAAGAGACGCGTTCGCTGCAGCAAGGTAGCTCTGTCTACGGAGATCCCGCCACTGCTCAAAACCCTGAGATCAGCTAAGAAACAGGGCTCCTCTCCCTGGAAGGGCAGAACATCGCCCCCCTCCCCCCACCAGTGTTCCAAAGACAGCGGCACGTGGTTCTGCGGGTGGTGCACATTTGCACGTGCAGCAGTGCACAGAACAACATTTATTCCACACACGGGCGGGGAAAAACATTAGAGGGAACATTGCCCCCCACCCCATGAAGAGGGGGCAGTGGTTGGAGCTGCCTCCCCATCCCGGCTGACCAGCCAGGGCAAAGCAATTCACCTTGTACCTTCCCTTCCAAAACAATGCGGGTTTCCATTTTGCAAACTGCTGCAAGCTGTGTTGGCTGCAGCACGCTCAGTGCACGGAGGAGACAGGCGCAGCTGGGCTCCTGGTACTGTTCTCTGTCAGGCGGACTGCGGCTGGGAGGGATATGGATTTCAGACTCATTTATCAAGCTTGTTCCCATTCCTCTGCCTGCCCGGTGCAAAGGCAAGAGGAAGAGAAACTCCACTCTCTGCAGCCCCCCCTTGCCTTGGGCGAGTCGCTGAGCTAGGGACGGAGGCTGGATGCCGGGTATGTCGCTTTTCCAGCCACCTCTAAATCCCGCATTGTGGCTACAGTTACAGAAATTGAGGCGCTAGAGAAACTCGGAGCCTGGGCTCTTTGTACAGCTCCCCCCCCCCCCCGAGGGTCGGCCCCTCCCCTCTGGCACGCACAGCCATAGCTACGAATGAGGAGGCAAGGTACCAGGCTCCCTTTTGGCACCGTTAGCTCCATGCGGCCAACGGTTCCAGATCCCATTCGGTAACGGGAGCGTTGCCACCCTTCTGCTCTAGGAATTGTTCTGGGAAAAGTTACAAAGTCCCGTGAGTCCAAGGGAAGAGGGACCCGTCTGGGGGATTTACACGTTCACCCCCCCC